TGGGGTCGGTGGGTCGCGCCGCCTCGCAGATGCATCGGCGCTGCGGCTCGACGTGGGGCGCTGGCCTTGCCTTCGAGGATCGAGGGCGCTGCCACCTCTTCCGCGGCGGAGGGCGGCGGAAGGTCGACGGCAGGCGGCGGAAGCGAGACGGCGGCGGCTCCGCCCGGCGGAAGCGCGGCGGAGGCGGGCGGAAGCAGAAGGCGACCTCCCGGGAGCTGGACGCCTTGCTGGGCTCAGGGGTTCCGGAGCCCGCCGCGTGGAGCCCGATCTCCTCCATGCCGACGCCTCGCCGACGCCTCGCCGACGCCTCGCCGAGGCAAAGGGGCGATGCGGGGCGACCCTGCGGCCCCCAGGGGGAGGGAGGAGGAGGAGGAGGAGGAGGAGGAGGAGGAGGAGGAGGAGGAGGAGGCGGAGGAGGCAGGAGGAGGAGGTAGGAGGAGGAGGAGGAGGAGGAGGAGGAGGAGGAGGGAGGGGGAGGGGGAGGAGGAGGAGGAGGAGGAGGAGGAGGAGGAGGAGGAGGAGGAGGAGGAGGGAGGAGGAGAAGGAGAGGAGGAGGAGGAGGAGGAGGGAGGAGAAGGAGGAGGAGGATGAGGAGGATGAGGGAGGAGGAGGAGGAGGAGGAGGAGGAGAGGAGGAGGAGGAGGAGGAGGAGGAGGAGGAGGAGGAGAGAGGAGGGAGGAAAGGAGGAGGAGGAGGAGGAGGAGGAGAGGAGGAGGAGGAGGAGTGAGGAGGAGGGGGAGGAGGAGGAGAGGAGGAGGAGGAGGTGGACGGAGGAGGAGGAGGAGGAAGGAGGAGGAGGAGGAGGAGGAGGACCACCTCTGCTCGGGCCCTGTGTCTTTTGGGCGGGCCTGCAGTGGAGACCACTGCGGCGCAGGCGCGCCTCTGCGCGCGGTCACCCCGAATCGCGAGCGGCGAGCTCGCCGTGCGCGTGTTTTTTTTGTTTGCTTGCTTCTCCTCCTCCTCCTCCTCCTTCTCCTCCTCCTCCTCCTCCTCCTCCTCCTCCTCCTTCTCTTCCTCCTCCTCCTCCCCGTCCACCTCCTCCTCCTCGACCGCGTGTTTTTTATGTTATTGCTTGCTTCTCCTGTGGGCTGCGCGAGCAGCGGGCTCGCCTCCCCTCGTCCTCACGAGCAGGCGGCTTGGGCCCTCTTTTTTCTGTTGGCGGGCCTCGAGGAGAAGCTCTTCGAGCGTGCGCCCCCCTCGATGGGCGCACGCTCAAAGATGATGGCGACGACTGGTGGCCAATCCCGAAGGAGGCCAGGCCAGCGAGGAAGCCGAAGACGAGGAGCAGACTCCAGTCCTCGCCGCAGCGTGGCGGGAGGAAGGCCGCCGCGGCGCAGAGGCCGCTCTCTTTGAGGAGCATATATGGTCGGGCCCTGGGCGCAGGCCCCGGGCGCGGGCACCCCAATCGCGAGCGCCGGGCTCGCCGTGCTTTTTGTTTGTGTTCTCCGTGGTGCCGCGGGGCAGCAGGCTCGCTTCCTCTCGTTCTCTTGCGAGCAAGCAGGCGGCCGGCGGCGCTCGCAGAGGGCCCCTACCCGAGGGAAGGGACAGCCTGGCCACGGCCAAGGTTCGAATACCAAGAAAAAACGGCACGAGCATACAGTCACGGCCCTGATTAGTACAGTCATCCCGCATAGTCAGGATGGGCAACCTTTGCCAAGGTACTCTTGCATCCTTGCCTCCTCGGTCCGTCCTTGGCCATTCTCGTTGGCCGCTCCCCGTTCGAAAAGCTTCGAACTGGGCGTCCAAGCCCCTTGCATCCTTATCGCGCATCCTTCTGATACGGGCTGACTGGAGTAGGTCGACCCTGGCAAATTTACGATGTACACCCCCGTGTCGGGTGTCGTCCGGTGTCTCGCGACCCATGCCTCCTGAGGCTCCTGTGGCAGCGTGGCCCATGGAGGGGTCTCGTGTCCTCGCGCGTTGCCCCGTCCCATCACTTGGCATCGCTCGGACGTGTGCATTTTTCCTTCGGCGAGGACCATCGAGGAGCATCCTTGATCATTTGGCGAAAAAAGCCACGCGCGAAACCAAAAAAAAGGCACAGGGAATGGACGTCCGAGCGATGGCGAGTTATGCGTATGATGCTGGTGCTCATGAGACTCAGGCGGTCCAAGATGTGCGCCGTGGGGGAATGGGGTCCTGAGGGGAGCGGGCCCTGAGATTGTGAGCTCGCCGTGGTCGGGCCCCCGGGGCCCCCCACGGGCCCCGGGGCCGTCAGGAGACGACTCGGAATGAGGTTGTCTTCCCAGGCGGAGGGCCCTGCAGGGTCCTAAGGGCCCGTTGCCCTTAGGACCCGCTGCCCTCATGCGAAGACGTCCAATCTTCCCTTCCAGTCGGGGCCTTGACCCAAGGAGGCCAAAATAAGGAGCGAGGCCCCTTTTGTTTCTCTAAGTTAAACTTCGATTCCCGATCGAAGACATAAGGAAAACCTGAGGCAAGCTGCGAAACACTTAAGGAACGCGGAGCCCCTCCCCAACGAAAAGGGTTCCTTCTTCGGGGCCCCGACTGTATGCTAGGTTGCCCTCAGGACCCGCTTCCCTCATGCTACGAACTCCGCGCGGACCTCCGAACATGTTGGTTTGTGCCACTGCTTGTGCCCCGCAGGATGTCGCGGGATCTTACCGGCGCCGCCTTTGGGATCGCGGCTCTCTTCGGCTCCCACCCCGCGGGGCCCCGTGGCCCTCAAAAAGCGACTCGGGTCGGCGTCACCCCTACATACTCGTACCTTTTGTCCGTGCCCCCCCTCTCGTGGGCCGACGCGCGCGCCGAGAAGTCTTCCAGTACGTGCTCTGTGGCGGGCGCGTCCTGGCCGCACCGCTCGGGAAACGATACGCTACAGGATGGCTGTACGAAGTGTTCAGGTCGGCACAAAGCCTCCAAGGAGGACACACAGTACCAGTACGTCCTTCTGCTCCCCATTGAGAGGGGCAGCTGGCCCCTGGAAATCCTCCTCCTCCTCCTCGTCCTCCTCCTTCTTAAGCTGCGGTCACCCTCCTCCTCCTCTCCGCCTCTCTCCTCCTCCTCCTCCTCCTCCTCCTCCTCTCTCCTCCTCCTCCCTCCTCCTCCGCCTCCCTCCCTCCTCTCCTCCCCGCCCTCCCTCCTCCTCCTCTCCTCCTCTCCTCCTCTGCTCCTCTGCTCCTCCTCCTCCCCCCTCCCCCTCCTCCTCCCCCTCCTCCTCCTCCTTCCTCCTCCTCCTCCCTCCTCCCTCCTCCCGCCCCGTCGTCGCCGCAGTGCCCCGAAAACGTCGGCCCGCCCGCGGTCGAGACCTCGGGGGGTCCACGTCGTGAGCAGAAGCACGAGGCCGACGACTGGCCAAGAGGGACGATGGCCAATTCCACCTCCTCCTCCCCCCGAGTGCGTGTCACTGCTGTTGCGGCTGAGGCTTCTCAGCCTGGGCGGGCCACTGCTGGCCGCGGAAGGTGGCTTGAAGTGCCCGACACGGGGTCTTGAGGCATAGTGCCCTCAAGCATCAAAAGAATATACTGGGGCTCTCTGGGGAGGGACGGTGGCCAAGATCGGCGCCGACGTTCCCAAAGATCCAACGTACTGAAAAGTTCAAGACGGAGGTTTTTCTGATTTTTGGGCCTCTGGGGGCCCTCGCCGGGCCCCGGGACCGTCAGAAAACGACTCAGGAGTAAAAACCTGTCCTGGGGAATGGGTCGGGACTTGTGGGGACCCCGCATTGAAAAAATCACGACATCGGATCTCTGAGTTTCCGCGTGCAGTTCGGGGCTCAAGAGATGGGGTCCAATGCAAGCGAGGGCAACTCAGCAGGATCTTGCAGGATCCTGCAGGGCCAGGGGTGCGCTGACCCAGGTTTGGGTGCAGGACCCTGCAGGATGCTGCAGGATCCTGCAAGGCCCGACTGACCCAGGTGTTGATTGACCCGGGTCAGTGAGTCCCCGATCAGTCTTGTCGACTACACGCGTAAGAGTGACCTTTCGCCGGAGTGACCTTTGGTGCGGGCCCATTGGGCCCCTCTGATCGCCGCATGCGCGCTTGGGTTTGGCCCCCTCGCGCCCCCTAAAAGCAGCGCACCAGAGGCCAGTCTTACCCAGGGTCGCTCTTGCGTGTAGCCGATCTTGGTCGTGGTCCTTGCATGTTCTTTCCCTCCGTCCACGTGGGTGGCGCGGCGTCGACCGCGCACTGCGTCGGTGCCGGAATTCCAAGGCGCGGCCCTCCCGTGGGCGCCCTTCTAGATCGGCTCGTGCAGCTGATCACCAGGGAGCTAGAGCGCGCACGACGCTGACGGCCGGGAAGAGAGCGAGGAATCACGAGGCTGACATGTTTTCCGCGGCGGAAGGCGGCGGAAGACCCGCAGAAGCTGGCGGAAGTAAAACGGGGGCGGCTCCGCCCGCCCCAGACATCGGGCGTCTCGAAAAAATCGAGACGGAGGTTCTTCGTGATTTTCGGCCTCCTGGGGCCCTCGCTGGGCCTCGGGACCGTTCAACAATGATTCGGGATGAAAACCGGTCCTGGGGAAGCGGTTGGGAGGTCGGGGGCCCGTGCCTCGAAAAAAACATCGAGGCGTCGGATGCTTGGGCCAGAAGGCGGCAGAAGGCCCGTGGAGGGCGGCGAAAGCAGAGGATCACCACCCACCAAACCACCCCAACCCAACCCGAAGGCTCAGATTTACCCTCGATTTCCAGTGGGGGGGGGTTGGGAAACATGGAAAAAACACATGTGGAACCCTTGCCCCCCCCAACCCGAAATTCGGGTCTTCGGGTTGGGTTGGGGTGGTCTGGTAGGTAGGCAGAGGAGACGGCCCCCCAAAAGATGTCGAAGCTGTTGGCCGCAGGGTCTCCGGAGCTCGCCCCTCCGGCCTCCTGCTGCTGCTCCAGCGCGCTCCCGGAGCCTTTCCCGGAGCGCTCCGAGCAGGGACGGCCCCACGGCGTCCGGCGCACCCTCCCGAATTCCGCCAGCTCTCGGGGCTCCCCGAGGCGTCCGGACCGGACTCTGCAGTCAGGCCGCATATTGGCAGGGATGGGCAAGCTTCCCCA